TGTATCTGTACCCGTTCCAACTAAGCTTCAAGTGATATCAGCCATGCATTAAAACAAAACAAAACAAAATACATAATCAGTCTTATTTCTTAAAGCTACCAACGTCTACCCATGGTGGAAATCAAGCAGCAGCAGATCAAATGGCTGAGAGGGAACCCTCCATAACCCTAATCACCCAAATTGTAACAGAGCAACCAACCATTCTGCCAAAACCCACTGTGGGTGAATAATCCAATCCCTAATTTTGACAACATTTTAGATTCTCACCCTCACTGATCCCTCTGTGTTCATGTTCATCCCTAATTTATCCACCAAAATATCATTTTTGAAGCATTCTCCATTTCTTCCACATGTTTGATGATACGCAAATCTTGAAGTGGGACAAAACATAGTTGAATTTGAGCCATACACAAACTCAACCTCTGAATTTGGGTCTGCAGTCTGGGCTAAAGGTTGCCGATGCTATCCCTTTATCTGAATTTGAATTTGATCCTGTTAAGGGTGGCCCAAATCTGATCCATTTATAATTGAAAACCTATATTGCATAAACTGCACCGTGAGGCGAAAAAAATTGAAATCAGTGATAGGGTGACATGTCACAGTTGAATATTTAACGTTGTTAAAGTCTTTAATGGAAAAACACTGTGAAACATAAAATAATGAAAAACAAACAGACCGAACTACATCTTTAACATAATAATTAGTTGAAAATTTGATTTAACGTGCAACAAATATTTGAAATATACTATAGTTAAACTCTCAATTCAATTCAATTTAAATGGATATATTTATATATGGTTAAATTTTAAAATCTACAATATTTAATATTTTGACTATTTCTCAGTTTAATTTATTAATGCTGATTGCAACCCCAGTTCCATTGAATCTGATTAACTCCGATGGAAAAAAATATTCGATTCAAATCCAAATATAAAYAAATCAAGCTTGGATTTACCTTTATTATGGCCGTGGTAGCAGTAGAATCTTCTCAGACACGGCAAAAGAGATCCGACCCAGTATGGTGGTGACCGCTATGTTACTCCCCTCAGTCATATTTCATGAAGGCAAAGAGTTCCCCACCATGGTTTTTAAAACCAAACCGGTCAGGGGTCTGGTTATCGGTTTGAACGGTCTGATCATTTGACCCGAACAGCCAGTCCGTTATGACAAAAAATTAAAAATTTTGAAAAATAGTCAAAACCATTCAAATGATTCGAACGATTAACCGGCCGGTTCAGCAGTTTGCTGATCAAAACCAATAATTTTAGGGGAAAAATGGTGACCAGTTCCCTTTTTCTGGTCCAACCATCCAGTCCGGTCCGGTTTTAAAAACCATATTCCCCACAGATCAATGCAATAAAAGGATACAGAAGACCTCATATGGCTACTATCCAACATCAGTATATAATGTAGGACTGTTTTGGATCATTTGGGTCCATGACAAATAGGGTATCCCAGTCTGAATGATACAGACGCCACACTTTTTGCGCCATAACTCTTCTATGCCAGGTCAGACCTTGTATGGCTTCTTGTTTGTTTGAGGAAACTAGAAATCCTTGCACAAATTATCTTTTCTTGTTGAGCCATATCTTGTTTGTCCTTTAGGCCATACGACCATACTGGGTGTCAACACTATTCGAAAATCTGATTTTGAATTTGGAATTTTACATAATCGAACTAAATACAAATATGACCTAATTCGATTTAATAAATATCTAAATTTGATCAATTATTTATTATTTATATATAATATATAAAATATTTAAATATTTTATATATGATAATTAAATTATATAAATTATAAATAATATATTTATATAAATAAAATATTTATTAATTATCTAAAATAATTAATAGGTCAAATTCAAATATTGCCTAATTTGGTTCAAATTTAGGCCGTTTACGAAGAAAGTCCTTGAAGCAATTCATTCTCATAGTCATAGCATGTAAATAGGATGTAAGACTAATTTTGGGAAGAAATGCAAATACAGAATATGTACGGTGTCAAATTCAAAATCTTGGATTGCACTCTTCCCAAACTGAGCCAATGTCATGACCGAGGTTTAAAATATCGCAACGTATGAGTGAAGCATAAGATAAGCATTTGTTTTTTAACCCACTGAAACGCCCAAATATTAGGATTCAGAAAGAAAGCATTTTTAAACAATTATTAATACCCTTCCTACACATGGCCTGTTCTAAATCTTGAAACATGAAACAATTTGCAACCATAAGCATTGCCCCTTTGCATTGCACAATATGCAATTTTTGTGTATGCACATGTCAATACTTTGAACCAACCGCYGTTGATCTGGATGGTCGGACCGTTCAGCCCAGAAATCGTTCAGACAGCCGGTTCCATTTTACCCCAACCCCGAAATCTGGTTAAAAACCATTAAAAAAGTTAACAAATTATTGACCCAAATGGTCAAATCGTCAATCCATTCGACGACTTTTAACCATTTTTTATTATTATTTTTTAATTTTGCTGTCAGAACGGGCCGTTCATTCGAACCAGAGACCCAAAAACTAGTGGCTAAAACAGTTCTGGATCAGTTTTTAAAACGTTGCTTTGAACCATGGTCTAGCATTGCAAATTCCACTACTTTTTCCAAGGTTTTTTAAAACCAAACCAGGGAACTGTTCCCATTGGTTTGTTCTGACAAAAAAATAAAAATAAAAGATAAAAAACAACAAAAAACCATTGTCTGAGGTGATGGTTCAACCGCCTAAATCAGCGGTTCATTGACCAAATTAACCATTTGTTACCAAAAAACGGTTTTGGGGCGAAACAGAACCGGCTAGGTAACCGGTTCCCAGTTTTCCAGTCCAGTCATCCGGCCTGGTCCAGTTTTGAAAACCATGACTTTTCTCTCTACATCCATCTTAGTGATGAAATGTAAAATGCTAAACAATTCTTCTCTACTTGGGGGTACGTTTGGTATCATAGCGTTTCTTTGCTGCTGAGACAATTCAACTAGCCACATCAGCATTTTCTATGGAAACAAAGTGAACCATATTTGCTTTGGGGGGGTGATATTTGAATCAACATTTTGATGTTTCTTTGAAGAGGGGCATTGCACCAACACGCCTCTTATGCAGCACATTGAGAAACGAAAAAGTAAAAATACTTTTCTGACATGTCAAATTTCAATTGCAGCAAATATTAAACTCCAAAAACCCTTCAATGGGGATTTATTTAACACTTTACTGCCTGACCTATGAAAAGTTTCAAATATTCCTCAAACTTTCACATGTTAAGCAGTGTTAATGACAAGAGCAAAATGACCATATTACCTTTAATGGGAATCGGAATCGGTATGGGCATTGGACAATACCGAGTCCTGTCTGAACCAAATAAACTATATGAATAGATCACTCCTATTCTGATTCCGACTGTGCAAACCAGCTTTAGAATGGCATGTAGTATACTCATACAGACGTGAATATCTAGAAAAAAGACTTATTTGAGTTTTGTATGGGCATACATGCCATTCTAAAGCTGTCAAAGTCATACATATGGTCTGCTTGGTTTGCGGTCAGAATCGGAATGAGAATGATCTATTTCAATAGTTTATTTGATTCAGACAGGAATCGGAATGGGAATTAAAATAAGCTGAAATGGTATTTTACTCCCAGAAAAAGTCATTCCTACAAATGAAGGAAATGCCATTCCACCAAGAATGGGAATGGGGTTTTTACTCACAGAAATGGTCATTCCTTCAAATGGAGGCAATGCCATTCCACCAAGAATGGAAATGAGGTTCCAATTCCACCCAACTAAACAGTTCAAATTGAAATGGTTCGAATCCAGATTTTCACACCCCTATTCTTGTAAACCAAACAAACCCTTAGTAAGTGAAAAATCTCATACAGATGTAGGAAAAACCCTTTTAAAAGGGTAATTTGGGTATTTTGAATAACTTAAAAAGATCACATGATCCGCACATGACCGTTTTCCTGACAAAAGGCCTACAGAGGAGGTTATTTGATGCACATGTAAACGTTTGAGAGGGGTATATGAAACTTTTCATAGTTTAGGTAGTAAAGTGGCATACCCCTTAAGTGCCTAGTACCAAACATGGTGAAACGGTGTCATCTTCCTGATTCATAGTAAAATGCATTGATAGATGAACATCATGATATCAAAACACCATCTGGACTCTGGAGCTCATTCATATCAACAACACGCCAGAAACCTCATCAATCAAATGATTTTGGATTTTCTATAAAGCTGAGCACAAAAGTAGGTACAGGATATTGGAGTCATTTCAGAAAAAGTGGCTTGTCTAGTGCCTCAACTTATTATAATGATATCTCTTTACCTTTTCCTGTATGTATATATGCATACATAGAATTCTAAGGAATCTGGGGTAGCACAACTCTTGTGGACATTTTCATCAATGCATATGTGGAAAGGACAAAATACCTGGGACACTTTGAACAATAAGAATGCTTGGTATTCTGTCCTCCTTAACTGTATGCCCTGATAACTTGGATAGCAGTATGGCACCGCTTGAATTTCCATAGAACTCCCCATATATATAGTAGCTAAACCCTTAATATACTTTTTGAAAGTTTATACACTAAATCATTATTATCCACTATGTGAAGCAAAAGGATTGGAATTTCATAATCTGAAAAGGTAAAAAGAGGAAAATGTCATAATGCTAGAATTCAAAAAAGAAAATTGTTATTTTAACAATTTGTACTTTTTTTTTTTTGCTAAATGTATTGGAGTCCGATTCCCATGTCCAAATGTTCATGCAACATTGACTATACGGATAAACAAAGATAGTATATCATATGCTATTTACTTAAAGGGTAAAGACATTGTGTAGAGTCAAGACTAACAGTATTGAATTGGGTGGGAAAATTTGTTCTTGAGAAATCAGGATATATCTAATTGTAGGGTGCTGCCTTTTTGTGTAAGTTAATTAGATATATTACTTGTTTTTCTTTTTTTGATAAATTAGATATATTACTCTGTTAAACCACAGTAACCATAAGAAGGATAGCATAGAAGAATCATGTATACACAAAATAGAATTGAATGGTCTTATAGGTAACAAGTCAAAGAAAAGGCTTGGAGAATACCTGGATGCTATAGCAGATATGAAGAGCAATAATATCAAAACCACATCAAGTCTAAACTAGTTTTGGCCTATGACTAACCTCCAAAAATTTGGCCCAAATTTGAGGGTCAATGAGATTGTTAGAAAGCCATATCACTTGGAGGTCCAAAATGCGAGGAATGATGAGATGTTCCCTGCATAAATCTTATGTATGCAATGAATTAGAGGTCACTGATTTCTGAGAGCCTTCTGTTTTCTCAGCGGATGTGAAATTAACTGGAATAGATGGATGGTCTCTCACTGTCAAACTCAGCACCTCAGGCCTTGCGTAGTGTCCAACCACATCAAAGTCAAATTTTGCCCGTGTTATTTCTCCAAGATCTACATAACATTTGAAAAACAAATTGAGATTTCATTGATCAGAGCAATGTAGAACAGCATGGTACTTCAGTAGAAACAATCAATGCATGCCAGCTAGAAGAAAGATGCTCTCTCCACCACCCAATGAAGAGCATACCCAACTACCCAAGATGCATGGTTTCATGGTTATAAGTTACAATTTTCCAATGAAAGGATCATCTTTATCAGATAATCATCTACTATACATATACCTTCTCTACCATTTCACAAAATGTATTCCTAATGCAAAATGTTAAGATAATCTAGCAAAGAAGGGTTCAGCACAAGGAGATCTAATAAAAATTCAGATGTGGAAGCCCTAAAAACAATGAATATACCCATTTCTTGTTTCCTGACTCAAGAACTGCCCTAAATAACATGTTAAGGCTATTCTCATACGACAGTCAGATATGTGAAAGGGCTTCTTCTCCAAAGAACTAAATGCATTCAAAGTGGAGAGTTGGAACTTTAAAGGATGAGCACATGGAAAATCTTCACAACCCAGTATGTCAAACAGTATGTTTAGGGAAAAATCTAATGTGGTCATTTATCAAAAAAACATCCTCTAATGTGGACTAGAGGCCTTTTTTTTAAACTGAACTGGTACCATTGGTTTTTGAAAAACTGTGAACTGAAACAGAACCAAAACCAATTGGTTAACTGGTCCATTGGTTCAGTTTTGGTTCGATTTGGTTTTTCGGTACTGCAACAAGATTCTAATTATTTCTACAAATCGAAAGGAGGGTTAACATAACCATACCTAGATCAGCAGAGATGAGGGCCTCTCCATCATAATTTGGTCCTGCCAGAACCGCCCCTGATGGGGAAATAATGACACTGCCTCCAGCACACACAATAGAATCTGGAGATGGTTCTTCATCTATACTTCCAAAAGCATATTCTGGTGGAGATGGGTAATCTTTTCTTCGGCAGAACTGGTTTGCAGATAGAACAAAGCATCCACCTTCAAGAGCAATGTGGGTCATGGATGCCTGCCATACATCCCTGGAATCAGCTGTAGGTGCACAATATATCTCGATGCCTAGAAAAATCAAGGACTTTGTAAGATTGATAAGGAGAAAATAGGTCTATGTTCTAGAATGGAATCAAAAAGGAAAAAAAATGAAATGGCCCATGAATACCGAAACACATGGAAAAGTTACAAGTCCCTTAATCTCAGAGCACATCAGGGTAGTTTGCGAATGCTTGACAATCATCTATGGATGAACATCACAACTAGCACAGAACAGGACTATCTATTTATGTCATGGCATCAAAATGCTCAATTGCATCTTCCCTGAATTCTACTAAACACAGTGCATATTTGTAGTACCTGTCAGATGGATCCCCAGTTGCATCCCAAATTGGCTAAAATCAAAATTCAAATGTTTTGGTTTTTTTTTTCTATCTTATTTTGGGATACTTTGCTCCATATGTTCTTAGTATTGAAAAGAAGATGCCATCAGGTAATTTGAATCATCCGTTCAGTTTAAATTTTGGACAAAGAGATCTTCTGTATGAAAGCTATCGATGGTATATTCTAATGGAACAAGCAAGTCGACTAGGAGACATGAACAAAACCCTGTACTCCAAAAACATAATAAAGTCAAAAGCCTGGGTCTGGTGCTGCATGCTGGGGATCAAATGGCTGATCATCCTGTGAATATGCATCCTAGACCCAATCCAGTCCCTATAAGAAAATAATCTAGCATCTTAAGGAGAAGAAGATAAGATGATCTCATAACAAGAACAAGTTGATGGAAAAACAGGTCTTGCCAAAAAAAAAGGGAGTTGTTCAAAAGTAAAAGAAATTTCAACCCTTCGGATTTTTACCTTTACCATACAATGCTGTCCTTAATAGGGGCATTCTATTTTCCCAACAAATAAGGGCACCGATCTTTCCAATTGGAGTCTCATACACTGGAATTGTGGATCCATCTCCAAAACCCCATATTATACGTTCCAAAGCTGTTGGCATGAGTTTCCGGTGTTTCCCGAGGTAAAGTCCCTGTGAATCAAAAAACAGGACTGTGCAGTAGAGTGTGTACCCATCTCTCTCTATCACCCCCATCACTAAATAAACTTTATATTTCCCAGCCATCGCTGCCAATCGCTCAACTTCAGGACCTGCGGAAGAAGTGTACATTCAAGACATGTCCATGAAAAATTCGTTAAATAATTCACGTTAGCATGGAATTTCATCAAATTTCTATACTTCATTCAAAGCATTTGTGATGTCCGATGAGTTAAACAACAAGTAATCAAGCACATCGATTGAAGGCTCCTGATGCTTCAGGAACTCATCTCTCCAATCCTGAGAAGAAGTGAAAGAAACATTACTAGGTACATCGATTGCAGCTGCATGATACTTCCGGAACTCCTCTCTGCCCTTGAATGTACGAGCACCAATGGTAACACCAAAGGTGGAGCCACGCGGATAACCGCCTATAAATGCTTCAGGAAACACAACTAATTGCGAACCCAAGCCAGCGGCCTCTACAATCAGCCTTTCTGCCTTGTCTGCTCACACAACAACAATAAGATATACATAAATTTCTTCATTCTTCTTTCCGACTCACGATTTTCTCGTACGAATCTGCAACAGTTGTATACTAACACCGTAATCCAAATTCATTTTGGAAAAAGAAAGAAAGCGGTGGAAGGAGTACCCAAGGTGGCGGGAGTGTCATAGAAGACGGTCGAGGCCTGAACGACGGTGGCTCGAACTGTTAGAGCAGAGGAATCCGAACCCATGTCGACTTCAGCGATGGTGGATGCATCGTTGACGGGAGAGGGAACTAAATCCATTGGCTTGTGCTATCCCTCGAGTTGCTTTTGTGGCTGATAAGAGGGGGATTTTTTTCTCTTCTTTGGCTTTTTTTTTTTTTTTTTTTGGGGGGGGGGGGTGTCGGTTGGCTGAGTTGAAGAGATGAGTGGAAGAAGCAAAACGACAAACACTTGTTGGTCCGAGCAACTACTAGTCTTCAAGTACTACTACTACTATTGGCCGTGTTTGTTCATGAGACAGTCTTTGATGAAATCGTTACGAGACTTTATTCGAGCTTGCTGAGGGGCGATGCTGAGGAAGGAGAGACGAACACCGGCGGCGAAGAGGGAGGCTGCAGCGGTGAAGCAGGCGATGGTCATTGCCAACTTCGTGGTCGTCGAAGGGAAGCACCAGACCATTGGTCACTCGATGATGCCGTCAAAAAAAATCACGGAGGGAGGATGACAGTGTCACAGTGACAGACCTTAATGGCCCACTTGGAAATTCGGATCCACTACAAACAACTGAAGGAGAAGTACTAAACAGTGAGCACGCGATGTCAACGGGTTGTATTTGGTACGGGTTTTGAACGACCCGACCCATGGAATATCGAATGCTCATTCAATCCAACCAGTCCCACGAATAGTACCCGAAAACTGGAGCTATTTTTACACATTTGAAAGCAATTAGTGAATGGATCCGATTTGAACGAATAGTCCCAAGCCAAAACGACGATCCTAAAATGTGAATTGGAATCTCCCGGTCCCCTGAATAATATACAAGTAGGGAAAATGCCCCTAAGGCTGTGGAAACGTAAATATATACACTATATATTTACCCTTTTTTTAGTTCATGAATGTAAATATGGTTCACATTTTAAATCGTTTTTACACTCATCTTGTTTGTTTAAAATTGGTACAAAAGGTGGGTCCATCATTAAATGCTCATGCTCTAATACCTTAACTTTGGTAAAAAAATTAATTATCAAAAAGAACACAAATTGTATCCAAAAAATAAGTATAGTAATACTTTCTTTTCAGAGTACAAAAGTGTGAGAAAATACATTTTTGATTTGGTAATCATTATTTTTTTACATATGAAACAAATGCTTGCAAACGCGAATCAGGGTACATAAATACCCCGATTCGACGTTTGTATTACAACAAACAAAGCTTAGTGTGTAGATAATACATGCCCTGAGGAGCACTCCGTGAGGAATAGATCTAGACACCTAAAATGTCATTGTAAATGGGCAAAATTATTCCAACACATTTTGTCAATTTTCCTCTAAGGTTATGTTTGGTTTGAAGGAAAAGATGGGAAAAGTAAGGGAAATGTAAAGAAACCTATATAAGGTTTGTAAAGGTTATCCTACATTTTCTTTCATTTCCCTACTTTTTCCTTCAAACCAAAGACAGTATAAATGCAAAATCTCACCTATGAGGTTGATTCTTCTCACAACAAAAAATTGTGCCCATGGTTCAATTCCAAGGCACTAGGTTTTTGGAACTAGAACCTACCGGGTCCGGATGTAGTAGGCACGTTAGGTAAGCACAATGAGTGAGCAGGTAATAGCTGTGTGACACATGTCGCAGTTAATGTATCTTTCATCCAAACATTTTTGCTCGGTTAGATAGAAATTATCCATTCTTTTATTATCTTTGTCAAAATAATTAAAAATAAAAGCAATGAAAAAGGAAAACCTAAACATGTCGAGAGTTGGGATTTATTTACGTTTTTCTTTTTCATTGTTTTTTTTAATTATTTTGACAAAGATAATAAAATAATGGATAATTTCTGTCTAACGGAACAAAAATGTTTGGTTGAAAGGCATTAACTGCAACATGTGTCACACAACTATTACGTGTCCACTCATTATGCTTACCTAACGTGCCTACCACATCTGGACCCGAACCTACACTCTCAAGATCGACTTTAGTATCTGCCCATGGAATCTATTTTTTCTTTACCCTCCCCCTCCCCCTCTCCCTCCCCCCCAAAAGAACAAAGAGTGAGGCATTTGGCACTAGTTATTTCTTCTTCTTCTTTCCAATGTTTCTTTGCAACTTAAATGAGGAATACACAAAAATACCAAGACCACTCACTCGTTGGGGAAGTTGTTGAAATACCAAGATGTTGATCTAAAAATGATGTTGGCGATGAATTCAAGTTCTCATGCTTTTCTTCGGCATTTCATAGATGATAAAAAGGAAAAAACAAAATTATGAGGGGCTATATCCAATGCAAAAACAAATATGAACTAAGGCCGTATTTGTTGCCAATACATCGTTTTGTACTCATTTTTGTAATGAGTACAAAAATTGATTCCAAGACTGAAATCTACATTTTTTTTATATTAACCAATTATGAGTGCAAAGTTCGCATCCAAAAATTGATACAAACTTTGTATCAATTGTGAGTGCAAACATGTCTTGAAAATTGTGATAACTAGGGCTGTTCATGAGGAGGGCTAAACCGACCTAACCGGTTTGACTTGAACTGATATGGTTGGTTTTTAAAGTATATCATTCAATTTCAGTTTATAAACATCCATAACCCGATTGGTCGGTTCAGTTTTGGTTTATGTATTTATAAACCAAAAACAACCCGAACTGAACCGACTATAAGTTAAAAAAGGCAAAATATAATTGTTCAATTTTCAATGTTCAAAATTCCCAATTTTTCAATTTGTCCTACTTTCTAGTTACGAAAAAATGTTAGAATTTATATAAAAGTTGCACTTTTCAAATTTCCCTTCCTAATTTTGAGAAAAGTATTCATTCAAAAGCTATCGTTCACTCTTTTTGAGGATTGAGCATTAATAAGATGATGGAAAAGACCAAGAAACTCATAAGAGTCTAAGAAATAAAACAGTACAGTCTGAAATTTAAAGCTATTCAAATCATATTTGTGAATATTGCTTTCCATTCTTTTATCTCACTCTCAATCTTTCACTTTATCATCTCTGAATTTCTTCCTTAAAATTCATAGTTGCAGAGAAGTTAGTATTTTTAAGATGCAAAGATTTCAGTTACTAGGAACAACATTAAACACCTGTTAAATGAGCATATACCAGGTGAATGGTCATCTATTAGGAGATATTAGGGTTTTGCAAGTTCATGTGAATTATTTGGTGTATTTGTTTGAGAAATATTATCATGCAAGCATTGGTTGTATAATAAGTATTTTACCCATTTTTCACTGAAATCCAGTTGTTGCATAATAAAATCAACTATTTTGTGTCTACAAGAAGATCTCCCATGAAACTAGGAGAAACCCCAGAAAATAAATTTGGTGATTCGACTGGTTTCAAGCATTGGTTGGACATCATCTTTTATGAATATATGCATTATTCAACCGGGAGAACAATGCCAAATGGTCACGATTCCAGTTTCCTTTGAATGATGATGGTTCAGTGATCTACCTTTATTTGATTTATAAGTTTCTTTTACAAGCTTTAAAGGTCCAGTTCCAAGATGGTAACAATCTACGACTTGTATTAACATTTATTCAGATAATAAGTTGGTATTATACTCATTCAGTTGGTTTTGATTGGCTAAAACTTCAATCTGAGCAGTTCAGTTTGATTGAAAAAATTATATGCAAATCGAACTAAACCGACCCATGTACAGTCCTAGTGATAACTATCATTATCGTCACACAAATGAATGCTTACCGAATGCTTGCAAAACTGAACCAGAGTACATTTATGTATCACACCGACATTTATACTGCAAACAAACGCAACCCAAGTAGCATATATTAGTGCCAAATTGGTAGAATTAAACATACCACAAACAAATTTTACCATTTATGGTTGTAAGTAGGCAACCTGAGATAAAGAAAAAGAAAAAGGCTTGTATTTGTGAATCTTCAGGGTGGTCGGATCTTTAGGCTTAGTTTGGAAAGAATACAAATGCAAATGCATACAAAATATTATAAGATTTTGTACTCTACATATTTGCATTTGAACTTCTAAAACGTCTCCCGCCCTCCCACCAAGTCTAGTCTCGGAGAAAGAATCAGAATGACATATCTCTCTCCCTCCTCATGCTTCGCTGTTGCTGTCTCACTTTCCTCTCTGTTGGAACGTCCAGATTTTGGACTTAGATCGCTTTTGGAATGATCAACCTCTTTCTCGGTTTTTGGGTGATCGTCTTTTCATTCACCGCCAATACTTTTTTTGGGTTACGATTTTTCAATCGCAGACATATAAGTACTATTTTCTTCACTCTCTTTTTCTCATTTTTGACTCTTAATCCTGACTGTATTTTCATTTTCTCACCATTTTTCTATGACATATTGCCAGCGACTTCATTGACATTATTCATGTATGCAGGTTAAGAAGATGAATTATCCGGTCTATCTCTGGAAACAAACACACACCACTCACGATGATCTTGCTTTGTTTCTTCTCCCATCGTCCCTCACTTCGCAATGTGATATTTGAGACGGTGTGGATTCAATTAAGTTATTGTTGCTCTGCTTCACGATCTTGCTTTGTATCGTCCCTCACTTCTCATCGTCTTTGTACATTGCTCTGTATCTTCCCATCGTCCCTTACTTACCAAGGTGATATTTGAGACATTGTATCGTGGGTTCAACAAAGTTGATGTTTCTGCGGACTGTGGGTGAGTATTTGTGTTTAGTACTTTATACCATTGGTTTTTCGATTCCTAATACGATTTATACCGTTGCTGTTAAGCTTTGAGCGTGGTGGTGTACCCTATGGTTTAATTAGCATTTCTGTTAGCATTGTTATCATTATTGTGCTTCAGTGCTATTTTAATATCGTTGTTGTGCTTTTTGGGTATCAGTCTATAAGTTTCTTATAATTTATTCCTTCCGTTCTACCCTTCTTTTGTTTAATTTGTTCCTTGCTTTACCCTTCAGTTTSTTAAATTAATTAGTTAATTCCAGTAAGGAAGAATTATGAAAAAATTTTACTTTAATTAATTGTTCCTTTTGAATCTTTATTTTCTTGAATTAATGCACATAAAAAATCATTGGTAGGGTAGGGGCATACACATGAACTTATCCTTTTTTTTGTTCTCCATTTTTTTTTATGCGGCAATGTTTAGCATGGTTTTCAAAATCGGACTGGACTGGACGGTTGGACCGAAAAACCAGAAACCGGTTAGGTATTGGTTTCGTTTTCCTCCGAAACCGTTGATTTTAGTCAGCAAACTGCTGAACCAGCCGATTAATCATTCGAACGGTTTTGACCGTTTTTCAATTTTTTATTTTTTTTTCAGAACGGACTGACTATTTGGGTCGAATGATCGGACCATTCAAACTAGTAACTGGACCCCTGACCGGTTCAGTCACCGATTCATTTTTAAAAACCATGATGTTTAGTAAGTACATCATATTATACTTTAACAGTACTATAGGTTCTCTCTCTTAGGCTCTGCAAAAACCAACAGCAGATGACTTGGAGATTAGAGAGTTTTG